TAACCAAATGCTACACTGCGAATCATAATGTGCCAAATGAAACCCTACATTCGCTGCTTTCTGAGATGAAAGAGGGATATAACAACGTTCCTTATCATAACTGTATTCATGCGGCCATGGTATGATACGAGCCTTTCTCAAGAGGGTTCTTTCACAATGGGGTGATGATCACTGTTTCGTTTCATTGGTGTGATGGGCTTCTATGTTTACTTCTCTACCCTTACTTGTCCATGCTTCTCCTAAGCAGCAGAAAATTATGGGGTGGTACACCCTTACTCCTCTCCTCCCCTCTCTGTTTGCTTATTTTGTCCTTTCAACGCTTCTCTTGGCGATTCTTCCCCTTTTCTCACGCCCCGCCTCAGGTAACAGAACACTGCAATATCCTTGTGAACAACCTAGACACAGCAAATATTCTGGGAGATAACGAAATGGCTGCCTTTCTGTTGGCCGCCTTAGGGCACGACATTGGCCACTTTGGGAGAACAAATATCTTTCTGAAAAATTCGAGCAATTTTTTAAGTGTAATATATAACGATAAGTCCATTTTGGAGAATTACCACTGCTCCTATTTATTTCACATTCTGTTTAAGGAAAAAAATAACATTTTCAAAAATGAAAGTGCCAAAACTGTGTTCAACTTGAGGCAAGAAATTATACAAGTAATCCTCGCAACGGATATGAGTAAGCATATAAAAATCTTGGCTCAATTTCGTATTAAGTCCATTAAAATTAGATCATACATAGAAAAGAATATTATCCTATGTTTGAAGATGATTATAAAGGCTGCTGATTTGTCCCACAATTGTGTTGACTGGAGTGAACATTATTTGTGGGTCAAAAGATTAGTAAATGAATTCTACTACGAAGGAGATGAACAGCTGGAAAAAGGATATCAAATTAATCCTCTCTTTGATCGAAATTCGCATGATAATTTTATAAAAATACAAAGAACCTTCTTAAAAGAATTAGTTTTCCCTTTAATCATTTCTCTGAAAAGTCTGGACAGAACATCCATCACACAATTTATGATGGACAAGGTTAAACGCAATTATTCCAAGTGGAAACAAATTGAAAAAAACCATTCAAAAAAAAAAAAATACTTAAACGAATTGATAAGTAATATTCCAGATTCGTGGAAAAAGTTTTATCATCCCAATTTAGACATTTACCAGTTGCAGAAATGTACCTGACGCGGTTCCTGCATGCCACGTTTTTTTTTGTTCTTATAAACGTGTGCAGAACTGGCCACTGTGCAGGGGGATAATTTTAACCTCCGTGTTCACGCACACTCACATTACACCGCTTGCATGTACCACTTTTCATAATGTTTTAATTTTTAGTGGTTTCTTTTTCCTGTCATAGAAGCCATCAGCCATAAGCCATCTTGATGCTTCTCTTTTTCGTGTGAGCCTTCAAAACAGAAAAGGCCGCTCCTTTTTTTGTAAAATATAACCTGGTGCGAGTGTCCATATGTGTATACACACATATATGTGCAGGAAACACACGAGTGTATGTGCTCTCCCGCCGGTTCAGTTTCAATTTGTCAAAAAGTAAAACAGGGATACCTGCGGCGCGGCCATTCTGTTCGCAGTTGACTGATTTCGTTTTTTACATATACGGGCACGGTGTGCATATTGGTAGAAATATATATTTGTACTACCTCTTGGTGCATTCCTGTCCTGTAGTATGGGGATGTTTCCGGGCGGTTTAAAACATTTTCCCGTTTTCCTCATCCCTCGTCCATACCCAACAAACGCCTTTAAAATGGTGAAAACGAGGCAAGCATTGTCTAACCCTGCGTTGTTAAAAATCTATGGGTTGTGTCCCTGAACTGCTACTAATTTCAGAACAATACATATAGCAACCGCTGAGTTCGCATATTTAACAAGATTGAGTACAGACCTGGGGACACATTTCCGCTGCTACGTTCGGCAGAACACAATTCGCCATTTTCGAGTTGTACCGCGCGTGTATATGTGCTTATGTACATACCATCCATACGTACATCTTTAGGGATGCCCTTAGGCTGGTACAAACTTGCACTACATTTGAAGCGCAAAATAAAAGGGGCAAAAAAATTATTTACGTTTACGCGGGTGATTTATGCCATTTTAAACCATTTGAACAATGTGACCTTAAATGTTACATGTTAAAATTGTTTAACCCGTCGACTGGGGAGACTGTAACTGCAGGGGGGCTAAATAAAACCTGTAGCACAAACAAGTTCATCTGGGATACCAACAAAATTCATTCACTCGCATAAGTATATATGCGTGTATTTATATACCTCGTGATGTACAAAATTGATGAATATGTTTTTGCAAACATTTATGTAACCGCGAAACACCACATGTGAAATTTTTTCTTCTCTTCATTTCTATGTTTGCCTCAGAGTCGTCATTTTTGTTTAAAATTCTCAATGCTTACTATTAGCAAAGAAAAAAAAAAAAAAAAAAAAAAAACAGTAAGAGAGAAAGTTAAAATTCCATTCAGATTTATTTTGCCCTCAGTAAAAATTCCTCACGGTTTGTGATTTATTTTATTTTATTTTTTTTTTTCTGTAAAACAAAATATTTCGAATTTATCCTTGTTATTTTTCTCTGCGCGTTCTCTTTTTTTCGTCATATTTCGTTGTACTTTATTTTACTTTATTTTACTGTTTGTCAACGTTTCCCTTTTTTTTCACTTTCGCCGATATCCATGAGTACATTTGTACGCATGTATATATAACATGTGAAGTATGATGTATGACGCATGATGTATGACGTATAACATATGAAGTATGACGGATGACGTATGCCCGCTTGTTCGCCAATGAAATAAGGCCTGTTTAATTTCCGCACAAGCGCATCGCGTGCACGTTGCCTTCCAGATAGCTATATACCACTTCCCTTTTGAAAATAAAAGCTCTCATATGGCTAAGAGGCATAAATTGAAGATTACCATTTTGCCTATATTTTTTTTTGTAATATTCACCGGTATTCACACCGTTTTTACCGCCTTTGACAGGAATGACTGTTAGTTAAATAAGCTGAGCAAGGGTCGTCGTGTGTACTACCTCATGGGGTATACGATCTGGCGTGCCTGTATATATGGGTTGCGTAATTTTTGCTCTGTCAGTTTTTGTAGACCTCATTCTGCTTGTGCAAAGGGGGCCTCCATGTTCATTGCATGTCTAGTTTTATGTTTAAGAAAAATGACGTTCCGCTGAGGGTCCACTGTGCGGTTTCCATTTCTGGATATACGCCTGTTTATTTGCGCGAAGGGACGTTCACTTGCCGCGCTATGCAGTCGTCGCACCTGCGGATGCAGCTTCATATTCATCTTATAACCCCCCCCTTTTTTTTTTTTTTTTTCCCGTTTCCCCTTAGGGTTAATGTTTTACACGAGCTGCTCTGGCTCAGGGCAGGTAAAATGGGAGCTGCTGGCAGTCCTAACAGTTTTGAACAGCCTGATGTTATTGCTAAATGTGAACTACAAGGAAAACATAAACCATTTGAATAACAAGAAGAGCGAAACGAGTGACATAAATGACGATTTCATAAATGTGGATATGAACGAATTTAGCAACAATGAGAAGGACGAAAGCAGCGACGAAAGTGAAAGAGAGAAGAAGTACAATAAGATAAAAATAAGGTACCTATACAGTATTAGCAACTCCAGAGTATGTTATTACACTATGTGGATCCTATGCTACTACCTGATTTATTTTTTATGTTTCCTTAGTTTCTTGTATGGTATTAGATTATTTAACAACAATTTAATTAATATATATACAATCAGGACATGCAAAATCGAAAATTTAGCAAATTATATTTTATCAGAAAATACGTTCATAAGCTTATACTGGGCCATTATCAACTTTAACGTTTTTATGAGTAAGTACACGGACTCCTTCTACATTTCAAATTATTTCAAATGGAAAATAGAATTTACCACACGAAGGAAGAAGCTTTGTTTTTTTTTAAATTATGCTTATCAAATATTGCTACTAAGTTATACTATTTACAAAAACGTGTCCCTCTATAATAAGGGGCTGTACAATTTAAACCAAATTGTGTGTGCCCTAATCTTTCTTTGTCTAATCCTATACACTATTTTAGAAATCACCTATGTGTTGGAAATAAATAAGCCCTGCTACTACGCCGTTACGAAGTTGTCCTACAACTACATTTGGGCCATCATTTACTTATTTGTGATTTTCATTTCCTCCGTCATTTTTTACTTTTCTGTTTTTCCTTTGTCCATCAAAGATCCGTTTGTGAATTTTCAAATCATGCTATGGTTTTTTTTTATTTCCCTAACTTACATAAAAAGGAACCAAGTGTTTATAAAGGTCTGAATTTTTATTTCGTTCAAATTTTCGCAAGGTCACATGTGGGCCAGCTTCCGTTCCGAACGAGAGGCGCTGTGTAAGGTGCACATGTTAAGAGGGAAAGAATGTGCACAAATTCAAGTTAGACAAAAGTGATTTTTCTTTTTTTTTTTTTTTTTTTTTTCTAAACTACCCACCGTGTGCGCACGAATGCCCACGTATATACGAGCGTAAGGTGCGAATGCTGCGACGAATTTATAAATCACTCGCTTATCGTAAGGGAAGAAGCATTTGATCGATTTCTTCCTTTAGCGCGATCCGTGCGTGTGGACCCATATATGTCCCTTATGCAGTAATTCGCGAATGAGTTTGTGCACCTACGCACAAATGGACGTACATCTACCCCAGATGCGCAGATAATGACTTAAATGAGAAAAAAACCTTCGTCTCTTAAAAGGTCAAGATGACTGTTAACACTATCGCAGCAGCGAGATGGGGAAAAAATGTGTAACTTGTCCAACTTCCAAAAAAGTGACATCGCGGTATACCATAAATATGGCCGCGATTGTACCTCGCCATAAATGATGAACTGTCATGCTAAACAAGCGCAGACACATATGTGTACACAAGTTTATCGAATCAGTTTCCTCCTCATCAGGGACGATAACACAAAAAAAAAAAAAAAATGGACACCCCACCTGACGTCGAATCAGCTTTCCTAATTTACAATTTTGAAACTAGTCAAATACGACATGCTGAAAAATCGAACATCATAAAACAGTTTAACAAAAAAATTAAGCGACATGAACAGATCCTACTAAACAGCCACTACAAGCATGTGAATAATTTTTCATACTCTACAGATATATTCCACAATTTTTATAAAATAACAGAATACTATTTTTTAAAATATGTCAACAGTATCATTATTGATTCTACCCTACTTTTTAAGTGCGTTCACCAGGTAAAAAATGGTTCCTCTGGTTTGGCTCAAAAGGAGGAGGAGACGTCACAACGGCGTTTTTGTCCAATTGAAGAAGCTGAGGGGAGCAACACAGTGGTGGGGAATTTGGAAATGAAAAATGAAGTGGCACCCGACTATACCTTCGACTGTGTAATTCTGCGCAATTTTGTAGAAAATTTCAAAAGGGCGAACAATTCAAGTGTGCGAGTTGCCAAAGCGGGCCGAAAGGAAAACAGAACAAGGAGGTCGGAAAAAAAAGACGTTAGTGAGGATGAAAACGGGGGAAGCATCAACAACAATGCAGAAGCCAACCCTAGAGGAGGCACAGATGAAATTCAAAACAGCGCATTTAGAAAGTCGTTCTTGTACGAACTGTGCGAAGTGTACAGCCGCTTCCATAATAAGAAAAGCAGAATGATATGTATTACCAAAATATTCCGCAAAATTTTTAGTAGGAAGCAAATTAGACAATTCATATGCGAAAATGGTAAAAGGAAAAAAAAAAATTACCTACGATTCTTTCTCAATTTATCCTTTGGTATTTTTATATACCTCTACATGCACAGGTACATCAAAAAGAACTACAGAAATGTAGAATTCTTTATATTTTTGAATACACCCCAAAATCTTCAAAACATATATGTCAACATGGTGCCCCACATGGAAAAGCGACAAATTTGTAGCTTCGCAAAGTTCGTGAAGTCGCTAAATATTAGAATGTTTCGATACGTGTACATAACGTTTTTTGTGAAAATATACAAATACGTTAACTTAATATACAACGTCACGCTTTTGACCCTCTACAACTATTTTAAATACTTAAATGAGGGCATCAAGGGGGGAAAGGGGTCACTCTCACTCCAAGGGGGAGAACAAATGGAGGAGGGAAACGATGTGACCGCGATACCCCCGCACGTAGACGTCAGTGAAACAACATTGAAGGGAAGCAAACGCAGCAGTGAAAAGAGCGAACCGCGTGAAAGCGTAACGAATGAATATAACGAGGGTAATTCGCTTAGAAAAATCATGCAAAACTGCCGGAACGGGTTGAAATCAGACGTAGACACAGAACGCGCTGCACCAAATATACATCAAAACTGTGAACGGATGAATATCGCAATCGGTGAAAAGGCCCCAAACCACCTGAACAACAAAAGGGAAGCGGAAGATACGTCAACTTGGAGTGGAAGACAACAATACAACCCGGCTCCCACTAACTGCTGCGACAAATATACCCACGAAATCGTCCTCAGCTGTTACGTTTACCTTTTCATATTTTACCACTACATAAGAGACACAAGAAAAAGGATGAAGTCAGAAATTCTAAGGATACAAAATGATGTTAAAAAAATGATTACCTTATTTGTTAAAATATATGACATAAATAAAAAAGGCAGTGATGATGAGAACAGGGTCATCGGTGAGTGCAGCAAGGACGGGAAAAGCGATTTGCGCACCAGTCTAGGTAGTAGCGGGGGCACCACCAAGCCCATGGCCGATCCTGTACATTCCCTATATTTTAACTTCATACAGATGAGCAAATGCTACAAAGGTTGCGTAAAAAGGAATTATGAACTCATCAAATTGGTTCACATGTTCCATTTATTATTAAAACATTTTTACAAATACTTCCCCATTTTGAATGTAAAAAATGATAAGTGCATCATATACAATTATTGCAACAAGCATTTTATACATTACTCCAAAAGGGTTGAAAAAAATGGACGCATCGAAAATGTATTTTGTACAGAAGAAAAAAATAGACAAAAGGGAAATGGGAACCTCCCTTTGGACGTCTTTAAAAATGTGAATGATTACGATTTGGATTTTTTTTACTTCCATGAAAAGGAGAACGGCGAAGAGGACATAATCAAAGATGTAGTGCAGACCAAGGAAGAGGAAACTTTTGACCATTTATTTCGAGCCGGTGAAGGGGACAAAGTTTCATCTCCACAATTTTCCCCGGCCTGTGCGGGAAAGCATCCCTTAAGCGAGAGCGAAGGAAAAAATGAGCACAAAAGTGAGAAAAAAAATGAAGAGGAAAACGATGAGTCAGGTACCATGGAACCCTCGAAGGGTGTGTTCCTAAAATGCATTAACGATGGCCTGGATGCTCTTCTGATTAACGCTGGCATGGAATTGGGGGGCACTCCTGGGAAAACGCAGCAAGATGGATACACCTCAATAGAGCACAACTCAAGCAGTGGCGATATTTGCGGTCTGGACGCTTCTCACAATGATGCACATTTTGCGACCCTCAGAAAAAGCCCCATACTGCAACTTTTAAGGTGTAACAAAAAATTGTATCACAAAATAGCTGCCGCCATGGAAACTTTCACCAGCAGCAAATTGGAAGGAACAATAAAAAATTGCTTACATGACTTGAACAAATATAATAAGATCACTCTGGATATCTACGACGATAGCATTTTCGATATTCAATACAAAATTGAAAGAAAGTCCACACAAGAGAGTGAAGAGTCAGTTAGAAACAAAAAGCTATTACAAGTGAAAATATTTTTGGACTATGAAAAACTGTATACAAAAAAAACAGTTGAGACACAAACACCTGTTTCTTTCTTTAGAAAAGAAAAGGTCATTCAAATTCCAAAGGATGAAGGAGTTTCCACAACATCGGAACAATACATACAGACGAAAAGGGTGGCGAATCCAATTTTTTATTTGAATGATATATACGATTAAATTGTGCTCCCGTCCAACAGTGCCTGAGCGCAAGGTGGAAGATATATTGACCCCCGTTCCATGCACAAATATCATTATCACAAAATTAACAATGACAGTATTATATATAACCTTGCGCTTATTCTATGCGCACATTTTACTGTTCGCTTTCTGCGCACTTGGGAAAATAACTTCTGCCGCGTCATACGCACAGTAGCATTTGACCCCATGCAGCATGTGCATCTGAAAATACTCTTCAGAGAATCCATTTTTTCCTGTTACATCTTATACCCGTGCCAGTTTGCATCATTTCACGGCACCCTCTTCTCATCAGTTATTCTTGTGAACCATCAGGCGATTTTACCTTTTTCCCCTCATTTGTGTAATATAGCATAAAATTGGCGTCACGTTCTTACATTCGCATATATACACAAATATGTAAAAAAAAAAAAAAAAAAAAAAGAAAAGAAAAGAAAAGAAATGTTCTCCAAGTGTTCTTCCTCTTGTATGCATCCTCTAATGATTACATAAGCGACACATTTTCCCCTTCCTTTTTGGAATCCCCATTATTTCTTTTTTTTTTTTTTTTTTTCCTTACACCCCTGTTGTAATTTGCCCCAAAACATGGATTCACGTACAGGCGTGGAATAGCAAAAAAAAAAAAAAAAAAAAAAAAAACCTCGGTTGTGAAAGC